CAATGACCATCCCCAAACCCAACCATGACCACCCCCAAACCCAACCATGACCACCCTGGTCCTTCCCCGCCTCCCAACTGCCCCCCAAACACCACCCCCCCCCTCCCTATCCGGGCTGGCCCTCCCCATGCCAGGCAAGGCCACCACCCCCCCCACCCCAGAGCAGGCCGTGTCCCTCAGGGCCACCAGCGGCCGTACCGCACGGTGAGCGCCCGCGCGGCCGAGGACTCCACCATCCTGCGCCTGCCCGTCGAGGCCTTCTCGGCCATCTTCGAGAAGTACCCCGAGAGCCTGGTGCGGGTGGTGCAGGTGAGGTTGGGACTGGATGGGACGGCAGGGGGGTGTCCCCTGGGGTGACAGGGGTGTCACTGGTGTGTCCTCTTGTTCCCCCACCCCACGATTTCAGATCATCATGGTGCGCCTGCAGCGCGTCACCTTCCTGGCCTTGCACAACTACCTGGGCTTGACCAACGAGCTCTTCAGCCACGTGAGTCCCACCTGGGGTTGGGGGGGGAGGGGGGGGGTGTGAGAAAAATCAGGGCAAAATTGGTGTAAAAAGAATAATTTCCTTCCCAAACTTCTTCTCCTGGGAGAGAGCAGTCGCGGAGCGGCCGGATCCCGTTTTGGGCCGGGATTGGGTCGGAATTCAATTAATTACAGGGGTGGGGTTTGAACCCCTGTTGTCCCCCCCTGGGTTTTTTTGGCAAAATGGGAATGTTCATATGGAAATAGTTATTAGAGTAACAGTGGGGTGAATGTTTGTGTGATAAATGTGTAATAAGTAAGAAGCGTTTTGGTAAAGTGAGTTGTTTATTAGGACAAGCGATCACACAAAAGATCTTAATCAGGGTTGTAATAAATATATAATAATAATTTATATTTATAATATAATAATTTATATTTATGTTATATTTATAATATAATAATTTATAGTTTTATGTAGTAATAGTTTATATTTTTGTATTATAGTTCACTATATTGAAGTAATTATATTAAATAATATATGGTTTACATATAATTATATAAATTTAGCATTATATATTTTATATACGCTATATGTTGAAAAATTAGTTATCTGCTACAGATGAAATCTTAAATGTTATCATTTGGACGTGACCTCATCGCCCCAGAAACGTCCTTCCCATCGTCCCACCCTCACCACACCTCCCCAAATTTGAGGGGGAGTTTTGACCTGGTCACATCAAGAATTGTCCCTCGTTCTGAGCTCATTTTTCCCCCTTGGGGTGTTTTCCACCTCATTAAAATCTTTGGGGTTTCTGGACAAGAAGCGTTAAAGAACATTTTAGGAACCCGACGCGGAGGTGCTGGAAGAAAGAGCCGAGCTGAGATTCGACAGGATGCAGTTTTATATCATGACATGTCATAGCACGGAGAGTTTAAGGGCATCATCTCCCTCCATCTGCTCTCCCATCTGCAGGACATGCAGCCCCTGAAGCTCTTCCCCCAACCCGGCCACGCCGCCCGCACCAGCCCCGTCCGGCACAGCAAGAGGGGCCTGGGCAGCACCGACGAGGGCCGGGAGCAGGGTAAGGCTGCCAGGGAGGGGTGCTGGGACCCTCCCCCCTGGGGTTGGGGGGGATGGATGAAGGGGCTCTGCTGCTCCCTGGGTGCTCAGAGTTGGGGGGGGGCGTTTTATCGTCCAGCTGAGCTGCTGAAAAGCGCGGGACTGGAGACCCCGGTGGTGCCGCCGCCGCCCTCCCTGAGCCGCTGCATCTCCATGCCCGTGGATATCTCCGGTGGGTTTGGGGGGGTGTAGGTTGGGGGAGAGATGGGGACACCCAGGGGACAGGCAGGGACACCCAGGGGACAGGCAGGGACATGCAGGGGACACCCAGGGGACACCCAGGGCAGCCCCCCCTGAGCTGCTGCATCTCCATGCCCGTGGATATCTCCGGTGGGTTTGGGGGTGGGAATGGGGGGTTTGGGGATGTTTAGCTCAGGGGATAGATGGGGACACCCAGGGGACACCCAAGGGACAGGCAGGGACATCTAGTGACGCCCACGGTCACCCAAGGACAGCTGGGGATGCAGAGGGACACCCCAGGACACCTAAGGGACAGCCAGGGCACACCAAGGGGACATCCAGGGACAGTGGGGACACCCGGGGACCTACAGGGGACACCTGGAGATACCTGAGGGCACCTGGGGGACACGCAGTGGACACTCCAGGGGTACCTGGGGACACCCTGGGGACACCCTGTGGGCCTCCAGGGACACACAGGAACACCTGGGGATAACCCAGGGGACACCCAGGGACATCTGGGGGACATTTGGGAGACACCTGGAAATACCTACAGATACCAAGGGGCCACCCAGGGGACACTTAGGGACACTTGGGGACACCCAGGGACACTTGGGGACACGCAGGGGACACTGGGGAGTGTCCTGTCCCCGTGTTGGACACGGTGGCCCCGTCAATCCCCCCCTCAGGCATCCAGAGGGGTCCCCGCTCCGACTTCGACATGGCCTACGAGCGCGGCCGCATCTCGGTGTCGCTGCAGGACGACAGCTCGGGGGGCATGGCCGGCTTCGCTCGGGTACGGCGAGGGGGGGGCTCAATCCCGCCCCAAATCCCACCTGAATCCCACCCCAAATCCCACCTGAATCCCACCCCAAATCCCTCCTGAATCCCACCCCAAATCCCACCCCAAATCCCACCCCAAATCCCCCCCCGAATCCCACCCCGAATCCCACCCCGAATCCCTCCTGAATACCTCCTGAA